TTAATAAGATATAGCAGCAGGAACAAAATTTTTTTAAAATAATATATAGATATATGTATAAAAATAAAATAAAAGATATTAAAGACTTTTTTCAACTACACTACAAAATAAAACTACTTATTACAAAAAAGTCATAAGAAGACTATATCAATAAATATTAAAGAATTTTAGAAGAAAGATTTGAAATAATCATTGCAAAGTAATAATTATATAGAAAAAGATCTTAGATATTGATAGAAAGTCTAAATAATATCAAATTCCAAAGAAAAAATTTGATAATATAAAAAATCTAAAGAAAGAAAATAATTCTTCATCAAAAAAGATCTTATTAAAAAAACAATTCAAAGATATAAATATTGAGAAGATTATTGAAAGATAAATAGTGAAAGAGAGAAATTGATTAAATATTTGATTTTCATTTAGAATTTTGTGTAATTTAAGGTAATAACCTATAAGCAATAAACTTGATAGTTAAAGTATAATCTAAGTTATTAAGAGAGCAAAATATCATTTTTTAAGTTATTTCTAGAGAAATTAAACTTTTAAGATAGGTAAGTTATCATATGAAAGTTTTTTAAATTGTATATTGATTTTAAATACACAATAAAGACAAGCCTTATCAGCTTAATAGCAGATTAAAAATAAATAAATAAAAAAAAACAGATAATCCAATTAAAAATAATATATCAATAAATTATAGATTATTCTCAAATATAATTAAAGAAATAACTTTAAAAACTTTATTTTTTATATTGATAAAGTCTTAAAAAAACAACTAAAAAATTAGAAAAGAATTATTAATAGATTTTACTTAAATCTAAATTAATGATAATATTATTATTAATTAGTTTTTAATATGGGTCTTACTATAACTATCAATAATATAAATTGAAATACAGACAATTTTAATAATACTTCTTGCTATATGTATATAAATTATAGTATAATTATTAAAATATAAAATAATATATATATATATTCCTTTATAATATTAAAAAAAGTGATCAAAATATCTAATTGATTATTTTGGACACAAATCAAAAATATAATTAAAAAAAATAAAGTTTTCAAAATAGATAGTCTTAATAATAAATTTAATATTTTAATTAAATAAGTTAGAAGAGATAATCTTATAACATAACAATATATATCAAACTTGAAAAAGATTTTTTCTATTAAATTTTGAAATATCTTTTTTTACAGAAAAATAAAAAAATTAAAGCTTTTAGAACAACCAATTTTAACAATAAATTTAATATCTTAATTAAACAAGTTAGAAGAAAGAATCTTATAATATAATATTATATATCAAACTTAAAAGATTTTTTTTATTACTACTTGAAATACTCTATTTATTAATATTAATATTAGAGATTTTATTAAAAATTAATATTAGAAAAAAATTAAATTGAATTGAATTAAATATAGAAGAATTCAAAAATAGTGAAAAAATAAAAAAACCAAAATAGATTGAAAATTTTTTTAAAATTAATTTAATCTATAATATATATTTTATATATTTTTTAAAATTAATAAGAAAAAAAGTTTTTTAATAAACTTAATATATAATAAGTTACTTTTAATTTAGATGCTTAAAAAAAAAAAGTCTGATATATATTTAACAAAAACTTATTCAAAATATAAAATTTTTGAAAAAACAATTAAGTATTTATTTAAATATCCAATAATCAATTATAATAGAACAAAGATTTGAAAAGATATAGATAAAAAATTGATTTAATATCTGATTAAAAAAAGAAAATATTACAGTAGATAGTCAAGAAACTATTCAAGAAAAAACCAACAAATGGTTTAAAGAAATATAAACAAAATCAAAATTTTTACAAATTAATTTTTGACTATTTATATAAAAATAAAATTAAAAAAATTAAAAAATATTATAAGGATCAATATAAAATAAAGTCAATTATTACAAAAAGAACAATTAAAGAAACTTTGTCAACAAATATAAAAAAGTTTTAAGAAAAAAATTTGAAATAATTGTTATATTGCTGTAATTGAATAAATAAGATCCTAATATAATATAAAAGGAAAAAAATATAAGGTTTTAAGAAACAATATTGATAGTATTAAATAAATTAAAAAAAAGAGAAGATTTTGATACTTGAAAAAAATAAGATAAAAAATATACACTTCAAGAATATTATTTTTTTGATAAATATTATTAAAAAATAAATAAATAAATAAAAAATATTTATATTTTTAATTTGTTAAATAAAACTTTAGAAAATTTATAATAATAACCTGTAAACAATAAATTTTATAGTTTAAAAATTATTCAAACTATAAAAAAAGCAAAATATCATTTTTTAAGATACATTTAGAAAAAGAAATTTTAATAACAAATAAGTTAATATATAAAAATTATTTAAATAACAATTATTTTTATTAATTTATAAAAATATTAACTTAATAATGAATTAAAAAAAAAATTAATAATAATATTGAATAAAAAAATTAAAATAATAATAACAATAATAAAGTTGAAAATAAATATTAAAATAAATTTATTTAAATATTTATTTGAATATAGATAGATTTAGTTTAAATAAAAATTAATTTAAATAAATTTGATTTAATCCAATTTAGTTTTATATTTTTTTTTTAATATAAAAAAAATTAATCTCAATAGCTTTATTTTATTTATTTATTTATTTTTTAACAAGGATTACAAAGACCCAGTTTTATTGAAATTGTAGTAGCAAGTTAATAAGATACAATTAAATTACAAACTATAGTAAAGGTTATATTACTTTCGATACTATAACTCGATCCCACCTTTCTCTATATAGCAACTAACAATTATAATAAACATATTTGTTACAGCTATAACCCATGTGACATATTGCCAGAAAAAGCTCTACTATCCCCTTACCTATGTTCAGATTCTTACTATATACTGTATATTTGCCTATTAATTGACTTGAACCTAAGACCTCTTTCATATTTTAATTTGCTAAATACTCTTTTTATATTACCTATTATAATATACCTATGAAATATTCATATGGAATCTTAGATATCATCTTGTCCCATTTGAATATTCTTTTTATAGGACCTATTACAACCTGCCTATGGAATGATTGCGTGAAGTCTTGAACAAATTATTGAATCTGGTAGAGACCCTCTTTTTTTATTAATATACCTAGGTACCATTAGTCCCTGCACTTTTTATAGCAAGCAGATTTTTAATATATCTGCAGGAGCTTGTTAGAACCTGTCTTATGACAAGATGACTTTAGTACTAAAACTGACTGAAGCATTTTATAATCTTTGATTATCCCATAATTCAATGGGATCTTGGTCAGAAATGATAGTAATCATTATTATGAAATGGATGCAATCTTTTTGTATTACCTAGGCTAGGTGGTACTGCTATGCAGTGGTATTGAACTTGAAAGCAATTGGTATTTTTATTTATTTAAAAATAATATTATATATATGATGATTTTATATATGATAAATGTATTATATACTATATATTTTAACTAGTTCATTAAAGGAAACCACACGATGTTCTTTTAATTTTTCCAGAACACTTTTATAGAGTAATCTAGTTATCAAACCAAAGTATTTGTTCTAATATGTTCCCAGATTTGAAACTTTAGTGTAATCCATAGATTTCTTTTTTCACCAAGATCTTCCAATGATAAGTTGCAGCAACTGGTTATACTTTTAAGCATCCCATTAGTACAATGTTTACTCTTTTTAGAACTTCAATCTTCTTGTCTTACAGCAACTTCTTGCAGTTGATAAGATTATCAAAGTACCTGACGCCAATCCAGTCTTCATTCTGGTTGATCATGAGATTAACCTTATTCTCCTTCACCTTATTAGGATATTAATAAGATACTGATCATCTCACAATATCTGTATACTGGCTTGATCTGATAAAAATCAGTTACAAGTGATATTGTGTGGCAACGAATTTTTCCATTTGACTATCGATAAGATAATCAGGTCTATATCCAATGACATTTACTGTTACCCAATAGAATACTGAATTTATTGTGATGCAACATTTTTTATTTAACTTCTATATAGTATTGAACTTTGAATCTGGTGATTGTAACTTGGGAGCACTACTATTGTGCTATAGATCCACAGGTCTAATAGTTTTATTTTATTTTTTGTATCATATAGTTTTATCTTATTATTTTTTTTTTAATTTTTTTAATAATTTTTTCTATTTTGTATTATTATTAAAAATTTTTATTATTATAATTGGGTAATTATTTTTGAAGGCTGACAGGGATTTTTCGGACCTTAGAATTGTGATCCTAAAATTTGCATTATATATGTATTATTAAAAAATGGGGGCCGAAAAAATCATATTTAATATTTTGATCACCTTCAAGAATAATTGCCCAATTGATTAAACTTCTATAACAGTTATCTTATAAAACAAATCTTTAATTGGAAGTTTACACTTCATTATTAGCTAATCTAATAATATAATATAAAAATATATTATATTTATTGTATTTCTTCTATTTTATCATGTTAAGATATTTATCTTTTAAAAATGAACCTAGAAGGTTATTATCTTTTTCTTACTTTTGAACCTATAAATAAAGGATATATTATTTAAAAGCTATAATTATAGTAAAGATAGTTTGATCAATATTTAAAATTCTAATAATAATTATTAAATATCGAGTTAATCTTGCAATAGTATTTAGAATAGCTTCTTGGATAAAGGTTGTGTTGTACTTTAATTGCTTAAAGCATTCTTTATGATACTTGTTTGATAATTGAACTAATATATTTATAATATATATTTCTTTTTTCTTTGTAAACTTGTATTAGATTATACTTTTTTATCATCGTACATAGTCACATGTGGCATAAAAATAAGTTATTTTTATTTGGTTATTGTTATATTTTGATAGCAATGTATTATTGGTTTCACTAGTTGAGTATAGATCTTTTTTTATATGCAAATCACATACTGCAATAGTAATTCAGATTAAAGAGATTTATAATTTTAAGTTCGTAGAACGCATATTGACTTCCCGACTCTTCTTTACAGCGGATTTCAGTGTACCGTCTTTGTCGATGATCGTCACATTCTAGAAACATAAAATTTAGGGCAATTAGCAAAAAAAACAAAGGTAGTCATAAATATTAAAGGTAGAGAAGTCATAAATACCTTTTGTCCTATTAGAGTATCCAAGATTTTCTTTTTGGCGTGCTTGTTGCCCATACCAGGATTCATCCTGAAAAGAAATTACCCAACGTAAACAAATGCAATGCAATGAGTAATCGATGAATGGAGAAGAGACACATACTTCTCGATTATCTTCTTTTCACGTTCCTTCAAAGCTCTCTCTTTCTTTTTTATTCGTTTTTTTTCTGCACGCGATCGTTTCTTATCACTTAAATCCATCTCGGTATCACCCTAAAAAGGTATTGATGTAATTTTTAATTACCTGAAATAAACCAAAATGAAAAGAAAATTTGTTATATACCTTTACTTCGCGTCTTTTCTTATCATACACTTCTTCGGGGGCCAGCAATGTAGCATCGCTAACATTAATGGGTATTACTTCTTCCATAGCAATGGCCGGTACGTCAGTAACAACAGTGATTTCGGGTTTTGGCTGTCGTAGCATTGCATTGGGAAGAAAAAAGGTCTTTTAAAAAACTTGAAAATAATATGTAATAAGCGAACCATGATTTACATACTGGTTTTGGTGTATAGTGGAAATTACTCAGAGCATCTAATTTATAACACAATTCCTTGAAACTGTTTTCAATTTCCTGGTGTTCTTTTTTTAGCGCTTCGTCCTTTTCATTGGACAGATCCTTAGTGGTTTGCATAACATAATCTTCTTCGTAAATCTCTGCTAGTGACTTCTTTGATTTTTCGGTCGATACTTCGACTAGTTTCGAAGGTAGAAATGGTCGAAAATTGGGATCGCGCTTGCGCTCCACGTCGTCGAATGTTTCCTGGGAAACATCGTTTTCCATTTATGTTATTGGATATACAAATTAGTAATAGCTACGTAGCAACCCAGTAAGGTGTTTTTGACTAATTACATCTAATATTCTCCTCTTGATCATGTCTTCGAGTTTTTCTGTAACTTCTTCAGTTATAACAGGAACAGGCTGGTCGTTGAAATAATAATTAACATTGTTTCTAAGAGCATGCCTGCAATCTTTTAATAAACCAAATTACCTTGGCAATATAATCAAATTCCAAATCCTCTTCCAATAAACTATTCAGAGGTCTATCTTTGCCCGAAGCCTATAAAAAAATTTTTTTTAGATCTTTTTTGTAAGCAAGTCTAACTATCTTTGAAATCATCTATGCAAAGGTATTTCACCTCTCCAACAAGTGTCCAATCTTTTTCTGCCACATTCTCCAATTCCAACTTTTCAATTTGTTTTTTTATTTTTTCTTGTTTCTTTTCAAATGCAGATTTTGGATTTTCATTACTTTCATGGTCTATCAACGATCACCGAATGAATACATTATTGTATACCCAATTCAATTTTAATTAATAAGTTAATATACCTTCGTCATCGCTTTCATCTTGGGCAAATAGATTGCGTACGACGTGTGTCAAATGTTCGTCTTTCCCGGAATCAGGATTAAGGTTAACTTTTGATCCAGTCAAATCATCGTGCGGTAAGATCCTTTTTCTATTGGATTTGTGATTTTTCTTTTTCTTAGGAGGATCAAAAAAGTCCTCATACATTATATCTAGAAATTTGACGCCTAAATTAACCTTGAATAACCGCAATGGTAAAGCACCACCTTAATTATTTACCATTTAATTCGTCTTTATTGGCCAATTCATTGGGATCTAATTCAGTTAAAATATTAGTTTCATATATTATAAGACAGATTCTGAGGGAAAGTATGACGACTCGACTCATTTAAATACCGGCGAAATAATCAATATCATCCTCATCACTTGCGTTAGAACGCGAATTTATTTCGAAAGGTTTATCAGCCCCAGTGGTCTCATTGAACTCAGCCAAGTTAAAGAATTGGTCATCAAGTTCAGAGTGGAAAGCTGTGTTCCCTTCGTCATCATCTGTTAATTCCTCATCCATCTGAAATTAGTTGCAAGTACCGTGTTAGATTGACTCATTAAAAAAAGTCAGTCTTTATAGTATATCCTAGTATATCCATACTTGCTGATCCTCTTCCTCTTCTGATTCTATCTCCTCATCTAGAGGATTGATTTCCTCACTGTCGATCTCGGAACCATCATGCTGCATCTCTATCGTATCGCTAAAATCGAAGACTGCCTGATCTTTATCATATTCCTCGTGTTGTTCGCGTCCGCCAACCAATTCGTCGAGATCGTCAAGTTGCTCGTTGACATATTCTAAGAATGGCATGTTTTGTGTACTAAGCTCATTCCAAATTTGCTCATTGCTTAAATCTTCTATTCTCAATTCTTCAACCGGATTGCTGTGCGCTACCTCTCGCCACTCTAGGAGATCCTTCTGCTCTTCGCTTTTACAAAAATCATATAGTTTTTTAGTAATATTTAGTGCTTCCAAAGAAAGACTTTGTTCTGCAGCTATGAAAATCTCGGGTCTTGCGATCACATTTTCCAAGAAAGGTTTAAGATTGTCGAAGAGATCAATTGATTCATTCGGCATGATTCGAAATACTGTACGTTAAAGGAAACCCATTGACCATCTAATTTGATAGCCTATAAATATTCCAATTGGTAGATTTACGTTTAATTTAAAAAAAAAAAAAAAAAAAAAAAAAAAAAAAAAAATTTTTTTTCCCTTATCTTGATGGCCACCGAAAAAAGTTCGAGATTAGTGGTTTTTTACGCATCACAAACCGGGAATGCTGAATGGATAGCGAAAAATGTTCATCAGGAAGCATTAAAACGCGGGTTCTCCAGCGAATGCTTCGTCTTAGACGAACACGATCAAGTGTGTACCAAGACCTGTTCGATCACAACTTTCCGATTGAAATGATCGCGCTCAGTTGTTTAACTTCCACATATGTCAGGTCGACCTTTCCAAGGAAAAGCTTTTGATTTTTGTCGTTTCCAATACGGGAGACGGCGATCCGCCGGATAACGCGACGAAGTTCTTCAGATTTCTAAGAAAGAACAAATCAAAGACTTTTCTGAGTCACGCAAAGTTCGCTATACTCGGTGTGATTTTCGGAATCTACATTTCAAAATGTCTTTATGATTTCATATTTAACGTTTTATCAATTTAGGTCTCGGGGATACAAATTACTCGAATTTTAATAACACTGCAAAACGATTGGAAAAGAAATTATTGGAATTAGGGGCTTCACCTTTTTATGGCAAAGGCTTGGCCGATGACGCGGCAGGGTGGAGAAATTACATTCCATTGATTCGGTTCATATCAGGTCCCGGACACTATTATTTACTTTTGCAAATTTTCTAGTCTTGAAACGGTCGTGGATCCTTGGATCGAAAATTTGTGGACCGCTCTGGCTGACGTTTGTGTTCAAGTGCGGAAGGATGATATCGATGTAGAAGAGATTACCGGTTCAGTCAAAACGCTTTCAGTCGCAGGCACCACCCAAATAGCACAGGAATCATTGGAAATTCATGCTACTAATGGAAAATCAAACGATAATTCCGATTTAAAAAATCATGATTTACCAAGGGATCTGAGGGGCAATAAAGTTGTGCTAGATTTCTCGGAACTTGATGAGACTTCACAGCTTACAGCCTTATCTCGTGTTCCAGTCGCATGTTGTAGGATTGTTAAGTTAGAAAAGGAAAACTTTATTCCGTGGTCGTCTTTTCCTTCGTTTATAGTTACACCGACACCAATTATTAATTCAAGATTGGATTCTGTGCGTTGTCTGACTCAGCCGGACTCTATTAGAAAGACACTTCACATGGAATTAGAAATCAAGGAACATGGAAAAGAGATTGTGTTTTCCCCCGGGGATGCCTTTGGAATATTGGCGCCCAACGATGAAGTATTAGTTAAGGATGTATTGGTCGCCTTAAGAATAGATGAAAATGAAGCCAAACAAGAAATATCTATTGAACCTGTCGAAGGATCCGGTATATACGCATCCATCGAAGTTTAGCTCTCTCTCTCAAATGTGGATTGTATTTATAAGCTAAGCTTTTTTTTATTTCGGCACAGAACTTCCAACACATTTGAAGCAAGCTAAATCTACATCCGTGATTGAGCTATTACGTTATGCTGTTGACCTAACCTCCTTGCCACGTAAGGCATTATTGAGAATGATGGCCGAATATGCTTCTGACAAACTAGAAAAAAGGAATTTGCTTTTCTTGTGCAGCAAGCAAGGTATTTTTAACAATTTGTCGGCAATTAAGTTGTGAGATTTTCTGAATGAAATTTTTTTGGATTCCTAGGCGCTCAACAGTTTAACCGATTGCGCGAGCAAGTTCCTACGGTCCTCGATTTATTGGCAACTTTTCCTTCGTGCAAGCCTCCAATTGAACGACTTCTTGATACGCTTCCACCGCACCGACCGCGGTATTACTCGATTGTCAATTCACCGCTTTCAAATAGCAACACTCTTCATTTTGCCTTCAATGTCATAGACTACCATACTCCGGATCCCTATAACGTTCGCAAACTTGGAGTGTGCACTTCATGGTTAAACAAACTGAGCGGTGACACAACGAAACAGATGAGAACCCTTATATCACAAAAAATAGACATTCCCATTTTCATAGAGATGAACACGCGAGGGTTTACCGTCCCACCGGACATTTCCAAACCCTTGATTATGATCGGCCCTGGTACAGGGGTCGCTCCTTTCGTCGGTTTTCTACAACATCGAGAATTTCAGATAAAAGACCTTTTGAAACGTGATGTAATAATAGGTGAAATGTGGTTGTTCTATGGATGTAGAGAAAAGGAAAAGGACTTTCTGTATCGTCAGGAGCTTGAAGGATTTTTAGAACGAGGAATATTGAAAAAATTATTGGTTGCAGAAAGTCGGGCACCTGGTGCCGGTTTGGGTGGAAATCCAAAGTATGTCCAAGATCTTTTGAGGAGTTTCGGACGTGAAATTTACGAATTGTTGAGTCGAAGAGAAGCGATGATTTTTGTATGCGGGTGAGTACAAAGGTTCGAAAAAAAAAAAAAAAATTTTTTTTTTTGTCATCACAATACTCACACGCAAACACACCGATTCAGAGATGCAAAGGGTATGGCCAAGGATGTCAATGAGTCGTTGACTGAAGTTCTTGTAGAACACGGACAGATGGAACGATCTGACGCTTCGAAATTATTGACAAGATGGCTGGAAGAAAAACGATACTTGCGAGACTTGGTATGTAAAATGGTCATCCACCAACAAATCACCAATGCACTTCACACTTTTTTCCAATTTTCTTAACAACTATGCATGCACATTAGTGGGCTTAAATAATTCGAAAACAAATCGTGTGAGCCATTGAAGTTGTCCAGCAGTCATAAAGGAAGATAAAAATGGTGCGTAGATTAATTATTATGGAAATGAAAGCAAAGTCAATGTCGCCTACCAGTTGCTCTTATTGAATATTTTCTTATGATATCCCGCAAGATCGCAAGTCAACGTCATCTATCACATATTCACAATAAAAACATTAGGATCTTATATTTATTGTCGACGATGAACAAGTACTGAATCTGCATTCGCAATACAAAGATTTTGAACAGCTTAGATTCAAATTATATGATGCTGATCAAAGTTTCTAAATTCGGAAATTCTGAGATGATTTATCGAGATCATTTCATTATTACTACTATTATATTACTGCAGTATTATATTATTACGAGGAACTCAGCATTATATTTCCACGCAATCTTTTGAATTCCCTCCTACCTCTCGCAATTAACTCCTTAATGTTTTCCTGATCATTGACGCACAAATAATTAAAGACGTCATCAAGCTTCTCGTAAAATGGGAGTGCAAAGGTGATTAATTGGCATACTTACGGCATTCTTTTCTGACTTGTGCATTTCAAATTCTTGCTTGATCCACTTTCTCAATTCTTTCCTATCATCGTTCTTATGCACCACTGTTATCAAAATTGCTGAAAATTAACAATAATGATGATAATTAATGGATGTAATTGTGCATCGGATACTTGCACTTGGTGGTTTTCATCATCTCTTTGTATAACTTCATGACTTGAGATTTAAGGATAAACTTGCGTCCAAAAAATTTTGTCAGTACCATAAAAAATCAGAAATTGATGAGCACCAAGTAAGTAGGCAAGCACCTGTTGAAGTGTGGGACCTGAAACAAGAGTAGAGTAACCCTCAGCATTTATTGCGCGTGTGCCAAAAAGAAATATCGATGGGATACTCATTTTTGCAAAGTGCATTTAGAAAACAAGTCAATATACGTGTGACATTTCAATTGGTGCAACACATGCCACCGTCGCCTGTCACTCATTAAAGTCAATTCGATCGTCTGATAATCTTCACTGACACGCAGATCTAATGATTCTTTCGATTTATTTTACCACGCATTCCAATTGAAATCAGGCGACTCTGACACTTCCCAGATATTTTTTAGCATAAAAATAATTAATTAATTTTTTTAAAAAAAAAAAAGGTTTGTTTTTCTTCTAATACACTCTAAATTTAAGGTTAGGTATTAATTGGATCGTAACTCAATTAATTACATTAAAATTTCATTGTGACAACTTGTTTTTAATTGTTTGTGAGGTAACACGATGCAGTCGCGAATGATAATCTCATCGATGACCGTTACTTCCTTGGCTGTATTAAGCAAGCATGTAAATAAGCATAAGAAAAATCGACTAGAATGACCCCTAATGTAAGCTAGATCTTACCGAGAATTGTAATCGACTGGACCTTGACACCGTTCTCTGTGATAGACGTTAGATGGCTCGATGTCGGTGAACCTTCAACACGTGCCCAGCATCCAACCTTCGAGTCCCATCCGATGATACTGTGTAAAACGCAGCTATGATTCTTAATCTCTGCATTGTCCAAGATAATCGAATCGTTGACTCGAACTCCTTTTCCGATGACTACCCGAGGTCCGATGGCCACGTTTGGTCCGATCTGACGTGTGAGATACGCAATGAGCGAAAATTTTATGCAACCCGAAAAGATTGTCTCAAATGACTTTCACAAACCTTGGCACTAGGATCAATAATCGCTGTAGGATGCTTATAAACACAGCCAACTATCTCGGGACCATTGGACTCATTTTTCAACAGGAGGTCGGGATTATTTTTCCGATATTGCTCGAGATAAAACGCGTTGGCCGGAATAGCTGAACTGGTTGCATTATAAAATTGAAATACTGTATCACCGAACGATGTAAATACGAGAGATGTTTCATAATAGGACCTTACGCTGCTGTCTTGATCTGCCTCCAAAAATCGGTTGTCTCGTATACATAAAGTTTCCTGGTGTCAACCAAAGAACCAAGTAAATCCTGCTCCAACCGAAGTTTTCCATCTTGAAGTTGATCCTGACTGAAAAAATGTTAAGGAACACCATAATAAATAACTTTTTTTTTCTCTCCATTTGCATTCACAAGGATACTCGATTCGATTGATCTTATTTTGCATCGCCTTTTTCATCTCATTGAAGATTGCACAGTCAAATAAATAAATACCACAGCTGATCAAATCAGAAATAAAACCCTCGGGTTTCTCTACATAATGCAAAACTTCTCGAGTATCCGGTTTGGCCACAAGACAACCAAATTTATTAGCAGTCTCACGATTGACCTATAATGTCAGAGATTTATAAGAATGCACTAATTGGCAATTCTGCAAACCGGGAAACTGCCTTGTACCTTCGTGCCCAATATTGTACATAAGCCACGATGTGTGTTGTGAAATTTCATCATCTCATTTAACGGAAAGCTACTAGCAACATCCGCATTGAGAACATAAAGTTGTTCTGGATTGCCTTTCAAAATCTCGTCTCGAAAGTGATAAATTCCCCCAGCGGTTCCTAACGATTGGTATTCACGAAGATAACTACAAAAACTTCAAGGTTAGGTCAAACTTCTTAATAAACGCAGAACGTAAGCCATTCATACCGGACGATAATGTTGGGGAAATCTCGAGATGCATCTTCGATAAATCTTTCAAAGACCGAGTTTTCGAAGAAGCCAATTAATAGCACTTCCTTTAAATCTTCAACCTTGGAGACAGCTTCCAAATGGTGCCAGATGATTGGATGTCCGGCCACCGGAAACAGGGGTTTTGGTGAATCAAGAGAAAGCGGACGAAAACGTGTGCCACGAGAAGGCCCGCCGACAAGAATAATAGCTTTACTGATCATTTTCGAAGTGAGGGTTTTTTTTTCTGCACTACGTACAGTTGGCCTCCATTATCAATTGCTTTGGTGGCACAAATATCACTAACGGTCAACTTTTTAATGATTTAATAATTTTTTCTAGTTGTTTTTTTTACCAATATTATTACTAATTATTAAGTTATGACCTATTATTTAAAGATTAGAGATAAAAAATATTTTATTCGTCTATTGATTTTTATAATTATACATTCTAAGCTTTTTCACTTTATTTATACTGTATATACGATAAAGTTGTTTTTATTTATTTAATTATTCGAATTCATTTATTATTTTTTTTTTCAAAAAAAAAAAGAAAAAAAAAAAAAAAAAAGACGATTAACACGAGAAACTCGTCGAGGCAAGTCTTAAGCTAATCCCTCCTCCAGAACTAGCGAAGAGCTTACAATTAACCGCCTGAAAAAAAAACACGTACATAAAAAAAAAAAGGTAGAGGGCAGGAGAATTAAAAGACGAATATGGAGAGTTTGGTGGAATACGGAGATGACGATAAGGGAAATTTGGCGAATTAGACGACGAATATGAGAAATTTTTAAAGGGACCGTTTTTTCTTATAAAAACAAACTCAATTCAATAGGCATATTAGGAAGTCTGGTCACTTGACCGCCTTCAGGCGTCGTAGATGGTCCACGACCCTGAGCTACACTACCGAAAGGCATCGTATCGAGAGTGGAACACAGGATATACCTGGGTCAATTCCTCCGCCAGAACTAGCATAGAAAAACTCGACTATCAACAGTCTTCACGGCCTGCTTAAGATTTTTCTTGGGAAGAAATTCTTATCTATATAATCAAGGGTAATATTAAACGATGCCCTCTACCTTTTGTCCTCATATGTATTTATGTACTACGAATAGTGTTGCCGAACGAACGAAGTGGATGGTGGAACGGAAGAATTATAATATTTATCATTTAAATAAATTACGTCATGTGAAGAAACGCGTTCAAAAAATAAGCATGATATGACGATACACAACCCCGTTAAAGCGTCCGTTCAAACAAATGTGTGTCACATGACTTTATCGATACAGATCTTCTACCCTTGAGACTATTGAAGGAAAAAAAAAGTCATGAAAATAAGATATCATAATGCAGTTGAAGAGAAAGATAGTATTATTGCTGACTACAATTAACCCGACAAACCTGGAATGGATTTTAATATCATTAAATAAATCTTCAATTGTTATTATACATATTAGCTATCTTTAATTATTTTTGTCAAATACTATAAATTGCTTGATTAGGAATTTTCCTGGCTTTAACATCATTGGAAAATTCCTTAGTCTGAGTCAGGTACATACTTGATTTGACTCTTCTTTGCCCTTCCTTCATCTTGTTAACTAGTAATAAATAACCTTTGAGAAAACAAGTAACAGGATAAAAAAATATAATAATCAAAACTTGAATTATATTAAATAGAAAAATTGAAAACAAGAAATTACTAGAATTACAGTATATTATTCTACGAATTTATAATGGTTATCATGATTAGGTAATCAATATATTTATTCAAAATAAAGTTTTACATTATGATAAGATGTTAATGAAGATTGAAAAATAAAGGAATTGGATTATCTTATTATATTATAAATAGTAAAGTAAAATAGGTTATCAATAATATGAAAGTAGAGGGAATCTTTTGAGAGATAATAAGCCAATATATATGCAATGATCTCTCTATATAATAATGAAAATATTGGAATAACTAGGTTGATATTATTCATTGAGTTATGATAAATTTGTTAATCATATTTAATTATTAAATTAGAATAATACCTTTATTAGCAAAATTAAAAAATAAAAAAAAAAACTTTTTTTCATAATCACCTTTTTCTTAAAACTTTTCTTATAAGGAAATTTTCTCAAGAAAAAAAGTAAATAATGAGAGATGGTAGTTTTAAAAATCAAACATAATATGGTGAACTTTTCTGTAGAGATAAGTTTTTCCTATAATATTATGTTCAAGTACTTTGAACCTGTAAAACAACTGGATCAAGTAAAGAAACTCTTTGTCAAATAGATAAGTAGGGCTTCTTCTATCTATTTTAGTAACTCTAAATGACAAGTTTTCTCACTTTCACTTGATTTGAGCTCTTCTAAAAAAAGAGAAAATATTGTCTGAAAAAAGGAAAATGTCAAGGAAACAAGAAACAAGGTAAACCAAAGAATAAATAATCTCTGTCTTCCAAGGTATGTAAATGTTTTGGTATAATGAAAACTTTATTAGTTACACTTCATGAAAGAAACATTTTAATAAATATTATAAATTGGATATTATGGAAGTTGATAAATATATCAAGTGAAGAAAAAAATATAAAATAGCCCATCAAGAAACCAAGATCAGTATTGTTGGAGC